TTCCAAGGCAGCCAGGACATGAGAGAGACATGAGGAGACGCCCAAAATAGGACCACAGATTGTGGTCAGCCAGCTGTAGGAGCAAAGGAGATAAAGCAGAGCAGGCAGCGCTGTGGACAAGGCTGCAGACACCATCACTCTTTCCCAGGTCAGGGGTCACTGCTCATCTCCTCCACGGTGCCCATCCCGGGTGTCTTCCACTCCCTTCACATAGTGTACCTGGATCCAAGCGAGCCGACCAGCTTATAAACTGATGTGATGGTAGCATTCCTGGTGGCGGAGGGGGACCAATAAACCACACTGAGACTCTGTCACATCTTCAGCTCCTAGACACAGAGGTGTGAACAGTGAAGAAAGCATAGAGGGGCTATCAAAATGTCTCACTAGGCCGGGTCGGCGGTACAAGACTCTAATCCCAGCACTCTTGGGAGGCAGACAGATTTCTAGGAGTTCAAGGCCAGCCTTGTATACAGAACAAGTTCCAGGACAGCCAGAGCTACATAGTGAGACCCAGACAAAAACAAACAAACAAAAATGTCTCACGGGGTAAATGGTACCCATCATGCAGCTGGAAGAACTGAGTTTGGTCCCTGGAAGTCACATGAAGGTGGGAGGAGAGAAATGATTCTACACAGTTGTCCTCTGCCTCTACATGTGTGCTGTGACATGTGGGTGCACACACGCACACATATACACACATACTAAAAAATATATATCACTAAAAGTATAAATATAGGCTGGGCAGTGGTGGCTCATAACTTTGATCTCAGCACTTGAGAGGCAGAGGCAGGGGGATCTCTCTGAGTTTGAAGCCACCCTGGTCTACAGAATGAGTTCCAGGGCAGTTTGAGCTACACAGAGAAACCCTATCTTGAAAAACAAAAGAAAATGTATGAAACTGCAAAGATGGCTCAGCAGTTAGGAGCACTGGCTGCTCTTCCAGAGGACCCAGGTTCAATTCCCAGCCCCAACATGGCAGGCCACAACTGTCTGTAACTCCATTCCAGGAGATCCAGCATTCTCACACAGATATACATGCAAGCAAAACACCGTGTACATAAAATAAGAATAATTATTTGAAAAAGAAATTATTTTTAAAAGTATAAGTGTGCTGGGCAGTAGTAGCACACTTTTTTTTTTCCAAGACAGGGTTTCTCTGTGTAGTTTTGGTGCCTGTCCTGGATCCTGCTCTGTAGAGCAGGTTGGCCTCAAACTCACAGAGATCTGCCTGGCTCTGCCTCCCGAGTGCTGGGATTAAAGGCATGAGTCACCACCTCACAGCAGCACTCGCTTTTAATCCCAGTGCTCACAAGGCAGAAGGAGGGGGATCTCTGTGAGTTTCAGGCCAGCCTGGTCTATGAATCAAGTTCCAGGACAGCCAGTGCTGTTAGAGAAACCCTGTCTGGAAAAACAAAATAACACAAAATATAAACTATGTAACAATAAATTTGAACATCTAAATGAAATAGATGATTCTATTAGGAAGTATAAATCAGGGCTGGCAAGATGGCTCATCAGGGAAAAGGAGCTGGGCACCAAGCCTGATGACCCAACTACGATTCCTGGGACCCACATGGTGGAAGGAAAGAACCAACTCCCACACTGTCCTCTCACCTGCCCACAGGTGTTATGTGTGCCCCACCCACATGCAGTAAATAAATAAATAAAAATGTCATCCATCCCTTAACCACGGTCTCTGTACTTGCGCATTAAGGCAGGAAATCGTTGTTACTTTATGAGCCAAGACAGGGGTCCCGGTGCAGGAACTGACACTGGAGGAAAGAAAACGCAGGACCACTCAGTAGGCACAAAGAACATGAGCCTCTGCTCTGTTTGGAAATTTCTTCAACTTTCAGATCTTTGGGGAAACAGAACATGCTTCCTATTTCAGAAGTTGAAAAATAACCAAAACTCTAACTTCCTGGGCTCCCTTGGCAGCTGGGCACCAGGCATGTGACTAACCAGACTCACATCCAGGCTTCTGTTAGCTCATAATCGCAGAGAAGGAGGAACAGTGTGGAACTCTGCAGCCTCAGGAGTCTCGGAACAATGTCTGGCTCAGCGGCTGAGGCGACACAAGCTTCAGTGACTTGGTCTTGCAGCAGGGGCAGAGATCTGCTCACCAGACTGGTTCTACAGCAGGGTTCTGGGAACCCTGTTCCTGGCCACATAACTCCATGTCTGGTTTTTCTGCCCAGAAAGTCTTTGAAGTAGCCAATGTCGTGTTTTGTTTTTGTTTGGGGGTTGAGACAGAAACATGTTATGTAGTTGAGGCTGGCCTCAAACTCATTATGTGGCCAAACAAACCTCATCTTAGCAATCCTCCTGCCTCAACCTCCTCATAGCTGCTGAGATTAGAGGTATGCATCACCACATGCAACACAAGACATGGTAATGCTGTTTTGCCTAGGCTGGTGTGGAACTTCCATCTCAGACTCCAGAACAACTGAGGCTATGGGCACAGGCGACACTCTCTGGCTGTGGCCATTTTTCCTTTTTTTGAAATGAAGTGCTGGGATTAAAGATGTGCAGCACTTCCCAGGCCTAGGCCATGTATCCTTTTCCTGTGGCTCATACCGGAAAGGTGATAGCACTACAGTAGAAAGACCTCCATCCCCAAAGGTTCACCATCAGTGCCTCCATCTCTGCTCCCTTCTGCCTCCCCTCTGATTCTGCCCTAGTTCCACGTAGCAAATGATGTGAGCGGCAAGTCCAGAAGTCGGCTGCAGTTCCCTTGTATCTACCCCATGTCCGGTCATCAGCAGTGAGGGGAGATTGGGAAAGCTCCCGTTCATGATCCCCCTCTGAGAAGGTAGGATCTTTACATCATGGCATGGGGCACTGGCCCAACAGACGTAACAGCTGACTTTCTGCAACACAGGACAAACACAGGCTTGCAGAAACAGAACAGTTCCCAGAGGGATGAATGTTAAGCTGGAACTCGCCAGAAATTAAGTATTGGGAAAAGGTAATGAATGAAAGCTCAAGTACGGCAAAGAGGGGTCAGGAGGGGGAGAGCATTAGACAAGGGGGCTGAGCAGGCAGGTGGGCAAGACTCAGACTTGCAGGCCCGGAAGGCCTTGTGAGGTACTGCAGACTGCCTCCTGAGAGCTGTCAGGAGCCAAGATGAGGTCAAGTGGTTGACAGATTAGCACACTCGCAGGCAATTCTCCCATGGAAAATAGAGGAGAAGTTGGAGATTTCCGGGATAAACCAGAAGGCTACTGCAGGATAGGAAGAGACAGTGCCCTGGCCTGGGCACTGGGGGATGGAGATGTGAAAGAAAGCAGAGTTAATTCAGCAAGCCTCGATAATGGGGGAGTCCGAAGAAGGCAGTAGCACTGGGAGTATTCAGAGTCATCAGGTAAATGAGTAGCTGTGGACAACAGAGGAGGAGTGCTATTTCTCAGTGGGTTTGTTTGTTTGGAGAAAAAGTCTCAGGATACAGCCCAGGCTGGCCCTGAACTCATGCTCTTCCTGCCTCTGCTTCCCAAGGTCTAGGAGTGTAGACAGTTCTGCACCTCCATGGCTAGCAGATGAAGCGATTTAGATAATGAAGTTGTTCATTGATATATTGGAGTTTTGGTTTTGGTTGTTTTCTGTTTTGTTTTTTGTTGTTGTGTTCATGAAAAGGGTCTTCCTTTGTAGCCCAGAGATGGCTTCAAACTCATGATCTTCCTGAGCCTCTCACATGAGGTACACTGTTTCTGTACTGGTGGAACATGTAAGAAGAGAGGTCGGAGAGACAATCAGACCTAAGGATCGAGGCCTCAGGGAAAAGGGTCTAGACCAGGGATAAAAACATGAGTCTGGGGCAGAGGTGATTAAAGGCACAGCAAAGTATGTTCCAGGTGTTTATGGAGTATATGTTAAGAAAGCCCAAGAATGCTCTGAAAACAGGTTTACTGCTGCAGAAAGGGAGAGGAAGAGAGAGCCACAGAGAAGGCTGAGAGGGCCAACCACACAAGCAAGAGGAAAACCAAGCAAATGGGTGTCATTCGTCATGTCCCCAGGAGGGACGAGCCCAGGGTATGGATGCTGCAAAAACGTTTAGAGAGCATCAGCCAAGAGCGCAATGGATGGAGAAGAGGGTGCCAGCAGCCCCAGGTTTGGGGGAATCAGTTTAGGGCTAGGAAAGGTGGCAGTGGGGTGTGAGGGAGCAGCCAAGGAAAATTAGGCATCTCTAAGAACAGCTATGGAGGGGGAGGAGGGAGGGCAGCAGGCAGAAGCTGCACGAAGTTGGTGGTTGGAGAGTCTCTAGATCTTTCCAGGGTGGCAGGAAAGGGAGAGTGTAAAACCAAAGAGGGTTCTGGGGAAGGCTGTGGAGAGAGGTGATAAGGGCTTGTCCCTGGGGGGAGACTGGTCCCTGGGTCCCAGGAGTTGGTTATCAGGTTGTCCTTTCCTCCACAGGTCCTCTATCTTTTTCCTGCTCTTGGCCTGGCTCTCCTTGGAGCTGGAAGAGAGAAGGACCCAGTCATAGCCTGGAAGAAGCTCCGTGCCTTCAGAGGTCTTTCTGCCTGACTGTAAGCTGGGGCTGGGACCAGAGGAGGGGGATCTGAGGGGGGACTAAGAACCAAGGACTGAGGACAGGGGTGGAAGAGAGGGAGAAGGCTGGGAGGTATGGAAGCTGATTCTGGAAGGCATCCTGAGAGCTAGAGCAGCGCAGGGCTGGAGCCAGGGAAATGATGCCCAGGGCCAGGGTGGCATCCCTTATAACTCCCTTTGCCCACAGGTCCTATGGCTCTCCTCATCCTGCTGTTCCTGCTGCCAAGCCCCTCACATTCCCATCCCACCTGTGATATCTCCAAAGTGACCAGCCTGCTGGAAGTGAACTGTGAGAACCAGGGGCTGACCGCATTGCCCGCAGACCTGCCAGCAGACACAGGCATCCTCCACATGGGCAAGAACAAACTGGGTGCCTTCTCCACAGCATCCCTGGC